TCCCCAAAAATTAGAAACACGCTGGCGAATACCGGATGTCGAAATTCGAATCCGTTCTAAAGTTATCGTGGATACGGACAGATAGACAGACAGACGGACGGACGGACAGACAAGACATTTCCATAAAGGGGTTTTCACCCCTTAATAAATACATTCATTCGCGAAAAAAATATTTGAATAATAGTAGAATATGAGTCTCAATTCCGACATCATGGTGCACACTGCTCTCTTATCGTTCCACTATTTTGAAATTTACTACAAGAAAAAATACCCATTTCGATATCCCTTCTTCTTTCGATGGGACCCTGCTAATTCAAAACTTTATCTTCATTCCTGTAAAAATCCTAAGTTTCAAAAATTATTCGAGATCTGGCCATTGCTTAATGCATTTACCATACTAACTGCCATTCTCGGCAACATTTTCATTGCTTTGGATCCTTACAATCTATTCCCTAATTTCCCAGATCATGACAAATCCATTGGCTTATGGATAACATCGTTGGTGGGAGTGCTGCTGCTGATTCAAGTTGTGTCGTACAAATCAATCGTCATTGGTCGACATGGGGACGAAGCTGTATATGGAATTAATCAGGCAGCCAATTTTTCAACATTACTCAAAATTGGTATGTGATTTACGTATGTAGTACGTTTTTATGTACATACATACATATACACCCTTAAAAATAGTGCTAACCGTTTGGAAAGCAGTTTCACTCTGACAATGGAGGTCTCCCAACGTATGCTCACAGATTTGGACCAAACTAATGTCAATCGATCAGAAATATAATTAGCATGAAATTTGTAAATTGAACTATCTGCCAATACGCAGGTTTGGCGGAGATATTTGCATAAAAAGAGGAGAAAACGCACCAAAAGGCTGGCATATTTTTCATTTTCCAAATTTCCTGCGCATTTTTTCTGCTTTGAATGCAAATATCTCCGATAGTTGCATTTGCAAATTTCATACTAATTATATTTGCTATCGATTGACACTAATTTGGTCCAAATCTGTGAGCATACGTTGGGAGACCTCCATTGTGAGTTTAGATTCAGTAAATCCATCAGCATTAAACTGATTAAGAGGAAAGTTAATTCTGCTTTTAGTAGTTAGTTTACTGAATATATAATTCAGAGTGAATTTACTTTGTCAACGGTAGAATGATTTTTAAGAATGTACGTTTTACAATTTTTATGATAGCCGAAACAAGTGTGAACTACATACATATGTACATAAGTGAAATAACATTATGGATTTGGGAAACAAGTAAATACGTATGTAAGTAAGTTTGTACATATGTATATATGTTTGTATGTATATCATCACCTCGACGCACGCAAGTACATATGCACGTTGACTACGCAAGCGAGGTCAGAAATGTCAATAGTCAGAAATTCCAAATTTTTTTCGATTTACATACAGCAAATAATGCATAATACTTCATTACGTATGTACATACTTACGTTGTAATTTATCCTCAGTTTCGTAACTATTTTATTTCTTTATATTTAGCTGCACCAGAACAACCCAGTAACACAGTAAAAATGGAGGACTGGTTGAAAAAACGGATCCTTCGACAAATGAAAATTCGATACTATGGTTTCCCAATCCTCATATTTCTCGAGGTTTACGTAGAATATAACTTCATCACGCGGCTTGCCCGACCCCCTATCCTTCATTTCATCCGCACCTTCATAAAATGGAGCCCCACATCTCTCCTGATACTAAATTGGACCCTTAAAGTTGTCGATATGCTTGTCAGACTTAGCGTCTATCTCTTCGTATTTGAGGAAGCCCTACGATTGCACCTCTTCCTCGTGGCGTACACCTTAACGTGTGTCGACATCTTGGAGAAACTAGCGCAGCAGATGATCTCCGCGACCACCGGGCGCCTGACTCATTCCAACATCAAATTTTACCGCGCTTACGAAATCATCGTGCGAGTCTGTAACGATTCCGTCTGCGTTACGGGATACGCCTACGTCGTTGGATCCATTGGTTTATGCGCGTTTGCGAATTTTGTCCTAATTTCGTATCACCACATTTTACCCTGGTTTATCATACCTTCGATTATTATTTGTGTCGTTGTGGGAGTGATAGGATCCCAGATGGCGCTTTATTTGGCGACACTGGTTGCACAGAAGTCGGATCGGTTGATGGGGAAGTTTAAGGATTTGGTGGTTGTGTCAACGGGGAGGAGGGTTTTAATGCGAGAGATGAAATCGCTAAGAAAAGTCGAGTTAACGTTGGGTTTTCGTACGGTGAGGTTTATGGCGGTGGATAAGAGTGCAAAGGTTACTTTTTTGAGTAGTATAATAGAGAATACGGCGAATGCGTTGATGGTGTAAAATATGGTGCATACACTTGTATGTACACATTTATGCAAATAAATATACGTAGATTTTATTTCTGGTTATGGGTACTAATTCTAAAGCATATGAAAAAACAACTCCCTGAACTTTAAGAAATCTGGTATACATATGTAGTCATTGATGTATATGTTTGAACTAAAGTTGCTACAGATTGGTATTAAAATTACACAAGACAATACAAAATTCCTGTTAATATTGTTAAATTTAAATATAAGTACGGAACTAATTCCGCACCGTATTATGATACTTATGTATCAATACTATTCTGATAGAGTTGAATGCAGCTTAGTACTATTTTAATACTGAATGAGTACCTGTTTAGAGTATCGTTTAGAGTCTAAACGGTACTCGAAGTATATCTTTAGAGTATGGAATGTATGTATCTTTAAGGTTTTAATGTATGTATGTAAATTGTTCGATTTCGTAACACACTACAGATAAATAAATATATTAGAAAATTAAATGTACACATGCGCATAAAGCCAGAAAATCTCCACTAATGTAGTTACCTTGCATCAAAATGGTGGACGGAATCTATTGATACACGTTTTAAACAAAATCAATCAAGCAATTCGTACAACTATGTACATGGGCAAGTAGGAAACAAATGAGTAACTTTATCCCAACGATTCCCATCAAATCTTTGTCTCCCTGAATTTCCTCAACTTTCCCAAAATTATGAAACATGGTGGAATCACTTATTCAGATGATGAATAAAATTCTGAAAACTTTATTGTGTGTTACTCAGGATCTATATACATATTTCATTTAGCATTTAAATCACATCACAATGTAGGTCTGCATAATTTCATTGAAATATGTGCTTTGTGGAATTCCCCTAATTATATGGCGAAATGGAATAAGTTTCTTTAATATATTTAAGTACGTTCTAGAGTTAGATACAGCATCAAATTCTGAATATATTCGTAAGGGACTCGAGCTTTCACCAACTTTATCATATATGTGTACAAATCAAATGCGAAATACAACTTTGTCCTAATAAGCTCAAGTCACGTAGAAAAATGCTGAAAATGTCATGCTGAATCAAAAACGCAAGTTGGTTTTGTCCAAAATAGAATCTTTTGTAAGGAATGTTTTTCACTTTTCCTCAGTAAAATCACAAATCGCAAAAATAACAACTGACAAATAAATCACAGAGTGTGATTATCACAGTTGAAACCCTGTGAATAAATAAATAAGGAGGGACACGCCTCTGAAATGTCCACGAATTTATGAAAATGTAAACAAACCCTTTATCTGTTCAATTTTCTGAGCGAATTATTAACATATCTACAAACATATGTGTAAACATTGATGCATACATAAGTCATCTCTTTTGGCCGCGATTTATGCTCTAACAAAATTTGAATAACCTTTACAGATATTTATTCAACGCTCTCCTTTGTGTATAATCAGAAATTACACTAAATACATAAAGTTGTCATATTGATCTACCAATGGATGAACAAGTAGGTGTTTAATGTCACCTCCAAAAACAGGGTCATTGATTTCTTCGATATACCTATTCAAAGCACATAGGTACATAAATTCTATTATTCGGATAATACTTCTTAATCTTAACTTCCCATGGAAAGACATGTAAATCATCACTCATTTACATACATGCACAATTTAATCTCAATTGACTACACTCTCAGCAAAATGGTATTTAATCATCACCGGCCAGAGCGCATAAATGACTTAACCGGCGCGGTGATAATGGGCATCACCATTTAAGACAAATATATGTACATACACTGTTGTGGTGATGAAAACTTACATCTCAGAATCAAAGTATTACCAACCCGGGGTGAAGTTATCACTATTATGGAATGTATATATTTATAACATTTATACTCTTTAACCAAATTAAGCAACCACGCTGACCCGTATCCTACCAATTTTGCGTACGCAGTTAAATTTGCTCGCAACTACGACTCTACGCCCAATTCGTATCAATTCAATACGAAACACTTTTCACCATTCTGTTAAGAAAAATGACTTAATAAAAGTCAGGGTTGTCATAATTTTACAATTTTGTCTTTTTTTCAACGGATGTTTGCATATCCGTCACATACAAGATGTACAAAATTAACCCTTGTCATGTGCGTATGTAAATATGTTTAGGTCGATTCGCCAAAGCTCAACCCTTCTAGGAGACCTCTTCCATTCGTTCAATCAAATTAAATCAAATTAATTTAATTAAACTTCTCGAACTCCGGATCAATTCCTGCTTTTGAACTAACGTGATTCCAATGTCATTTGTTACTGCATTTTTTGGAAATGCTTTCTCCACATTTATCGCCATTTCGCACCGACGCCTCCTTCCGTACAACGTCCTCTACGTAGTCTTCCCCTTAATGAGCGTGCTCTGCAGTCTGGTCATCCTCATCATGGGAACCTCTGCGGGAAAAGCGAATCTCGTCTCGACCCAGGTCAGCAAACAGTTTCGAAGAAGTCTCACCCAGGACAAAATTTTTTTCATAAGAATGAAGTTAAATAGAAAAATAATTAAGAGTTTGAAAACTGTGGAGGTGAAATGTTTGGATACTTCGGTTCGAATTATGACACCGCTTTTGTTAATTGCGGGATGTAATAAGTTAATGGTGAAAGTTGGCTTGTTGGCCAAGTAGTAATTACTCACTCTTTAATGGTGATGAGCATACCAATGTAAATACATGCACATAAGTGTTTTACCTTTACTTGAATTGAATCCATGGATGGAGGGTAGATATGGAAAGTTACAGGAAAATGTTACTAAGAGATTGCGCCGAAGTCATGAATTTACAATCATGACATGATATTTTTGAATTTTATAAAACAAATTTTAAAAAATTTCCAAACAATAAATTCACGTAAGCTAATTTGTGCCGTTTAATCGCCCCATTAAAATAAAGTACGTCGTTTTTAAAGTGAAGATATCTTCGTCGATGTCTTCACCTTCCAGTCCAGTAGCGGTCAAAAATCTACTGGTGCACATTTAAAAAATTTAATTGATTAACCAATGTGAGCACCAATATGGACAACTAAATATATACATTCCTAAATATGTATGTGTGTAGCAAAGCACTAACTTTTTCCGAATATTTTCCAAAAAATCTTCACCCTCCTGAGTTCCTTCAACTCTGCAGAAATTGTGAAACATTGAATAACTTTGAATTAGTCCGATGATGAAAGAAAGGTTGACAACCTTACTGTCCATGACGCCACCCACTCTGTAATTTTGTCATAGTTGAATAGATTAGATTTTTAACACAACTCGTAAAAAATCGGCTTGAAGAAAATCTACTAATTATCGTCATGTACACGTATGTATATTTAGTAAGATTCCAGTCCAAGAAAATTCTGCACAATGATTTTTGTTAAATTTCATACACGATAATGCAGATAAATTGCTGGAATTTAGTGAATGTTGCAGTAATACGAATACGACTTTGACAACAGTACATACGTCCCAAAATCATTGGACCTGTCATCTCATAGGTTTTTTGAAAATTATTAGCTAAAATCTATCACATATTTACGTACATACGTAACCATTCCGAATGGTCCATTCGAAAACTATACACTTGATTAAATATTTAGTGTCATAAATTATTGCACAGATCAATTGTATCAACTCACCGTTTAAAATCATTGTATGGAATTTTAATTTCTTTATATTCATCCGTGGAAGCTTGAGCTTCTGGGGGAAAATATGGCTTCAGAAAGTCATGAATCTGAAAAAAAAATAAATTTGTGGATCTTTAACGTAGCAAAATGTAATAATTTTAGAAATTATTTACATTATACGAATCAACAAACTGCAATAAATACTTAATTTATTTAAAAGAAAATTCATGAAATAATTTATGAAAGCCAGCATAAAGTTATAAATGTCATTCTTGAATTTTGTTAAGATTTTCAAAAAATTTACGAAAAGACAAGATTGATTAACTGGAATACAAATGATAAATCGAAATTGTCGATAAAGTCATTCTTGCGACCAAACTCACATAATCCGTAATTTTTACAAGTTCTGAATTTCTGCCGTCATCTTTAATATATTCCACTGTTAGTGACATCGTCCTTGTTCCGATGAAGGTCATGACCCCGCCGGGACAAAGGACTCGTTCCCCCTCCGAGTACAGTTTATCCAAGTCGAACCAATGCGCGGATCTGCAGGCAATGATAAGTTCTATTGATTTATCCGGGAGGGGAATTTCTTCCGCGGAAGATTTCCTGCTAATCGAAAAAATTTGATAATCATGTAGGTACTGCAGGTAAAATTTGCAACTGAAATGGCAAAACTTTAATACCTAGCTATACATACATACATATCTACATACTCTCCATCCACGTAGAATTGAACTTTTAAAGAAATTGAGCATTCTGAGAAACTACGCTACTGTTAGTCTCAAATCCCCCAAAATAATGCTCACGGGGAACTTTGAGACTATTTTCTCAGAATTCTTAATTTCTGTAAAAGTTCAATCCTGCGTGGATGGAGAGTACATACTTACAGCATACATACGTGGGATTGCTTATCATTACCACGTTGGCAGTCATATGTGAATACCCCTTGTATTATTTTACTACCGGATTTCAACGAGTGTAACAAATGATGAGGTCTAGGTTTAATGATTTTGAGAACGTCCACTCACTCAAAAGTGACATTTTTGACCCCTTGCTTTTCTTTTTGTTTGACCGCCTCTTCAATTTGTGTCGAACTGATATCCGTGCCAAGAACGTGGCCGAAGTATTTACAGATTTGAAAAGTGCACTGACCTGACCCACAGCCTAGGTCGACGGCCTGATTTAACGGTCCCCTGTGCTGCATTTGAGGTTTATTTATGTACTGACATATGTACAGGGTTGTTAAAATGTCACGCTACAATGGAAAATTTTTCAATGGGAAAAACCCCTAAATCTCCATTAGTTACAAGATTTTGGATTGCGATTTTTATAATTTCTATCAAAACTTATGGAACATTGATGACGAAATTCTTAAAATGCTGAAGTTTAAAGACAAAATTTGGATAACTGATGGTAATTTACGAATTTTCCCATCGGAAAATTTTGCATCGTAGCGTGACATTTTAACTACCCTGTACTAATCTTTAGTTATGCAAAGAATTGATTTGTACCCACTTTCTCTGAAAGGTAATCTATTACGATTTGTACTACGTGATGAGGGAGACTTTCCCTGTATTTCCTGTAAATGCAGGCTTGCCCTGGGCTTATTGAGTCCATTTATACTCAAAATGATCCCGAAATGTGGAAACTTTTGAGGATTTTAAATATATTCTATCTTGTATATAACACGTAATACATAGTCACTGATTAACATATGTTTTCCTTAGTGTGCTATGTATGTATGTACTTGAGCGAAACTGATGAATTGATACATTTGTATGTAAATATGCACAGACTCTTCAGCAGTTGCATGCGTATAATGCTTTAGAGTAATGACACTGCGGTTATCATATGTATCTATGTACATTTGTACATTTGTAGCATGATACGTACATATTTACATACAGCATTCACACATCTCTCATGCAGCCAGCAAGAATTTTTGCATGCATATCGTTTACACAGCCAAACTATGGTTTTATTGTACATAATTCATTTGTGAGTTTGTGCCTACTTTTTTGTTCTGACTTGTATTAGTCAATGTACTCTGTCTCAAATGTAAGAGAGAAATTGGAAATTTGTGATATTTTTATTTTGTAATACGTTTCTCTTGGGTCATGATACTTTGCTATATTATACATAACTAATTCAATGTCACATATAACGATCTACCAGCATCTGTGAGAATGTGTACGTAAAATCGCCGTTAAGGTCAAATGAGGACCGTCACGAACTTTTTGAAACATGAAGTCTAATTTACCTCCACAGGAGCTAAATTAAGCCTCCAGAGCGATAAATAAAGGTCCAGCGCTTAATAAAGCTCCTCAGGAGCTAAATTAAGCTCCTCTGGCGCTTTATTAAGCTCCTCTAGCGCTTTATTAAGCCTAGCTCTTCCTGACTGCACAGGAGGCGAGGTGGTGGTCCATCTTGTAGGAGAAATTTGCATTTACGCCACACCTTGATTTTTGCAGCTGGAGAAATAAAATAAAGCAGCAAGAAATACAGTTTAGTTCAAAATAATACTGGTTGTAAGTTGTAGCTAAAATAAGCTACATAGATTCGCTATTTCTTTATTTATTTCAGCCGTGATTGTTACAAAAGTTGGGATATATAAATGTCGGCGGAGAAGGCCTTATTGGGGGTAATTTGTTTAAAAATTAACCTGCAATTCTTGACATGCAATTCTTGCAAAATAATTAAGGCAATTATATTATTACTTTTTACAGGATGAGTATTCCACGTTCAGCCGTGATAACGTCCACGAGACGGGAGCGTGTCTTAACCACGATGTAAAAGTTTGATTTATGAATAATGTAAACTAATTTGTAAAATTTGTGCACTATATGCACGAATGCTTAGAAGAATTGTAAACTCTGTAAATTCTGGGAAAATTCAAGGAAAATTAGCTTCCAAATTTTTTAACCTTGCTGAGATTTATAGCGTCCACAATCGGACGATAAAAAAACAGCTTGAAAAAGATTCCACTAATGCATGTTTCATTAAAATTAATTCGCACAGATAATTGAACACTTGTGCAAATATCTTGGAACTATGGACATAAAGACGTGCCGACTGGTCTCCTCGGTTTGGAATTACGGATCCACTCTTGCTCTAAAAGCCAGAACAAATATCAGGTTTCAACTATCGCCAAAAAATTGCAAAAATTCCGTCCCACTTTCCCAAAATTCAGGGGGCTGGGATATTTTGAACGTCATAGAAAAACTCAAGTTCTGCCCTGTCAATGTCTGTCTATTGGTTCCATTTAACTCCGACGACACTCTAGCACCCCCAGATTTCTCATTATTTCCAGAAACTAACAATTTCAAGTCAATTTGTGTCGAGCTTCCGCACGGGAATCAGTATCGTTGGCAGGCTGAATTAGTTGCACAATTAATCCAGTCGTCGTCCACGACTTTAAAGGAATTAGAATTTGATTGGGCGGAAAACGTGGATTTCCTGGATTTCCCCTCATTTGGGGACACCATCTTCCCAAAACTGGTAAAGTTAACGGTAGAAAACAAGTTTGATGAGGGTGCTGTTGAGCGAGTTTTCCAAGCGATTACGACATCATTCCCGAACCTGCAATATCTCGTGACGGAATGCAAGTACTTTGTTGAAATTGTGGAAGAAGGACTATTACCAAATTTGCCACAGTAAGTTTCACATGCATACATACTTTGATATAAAATTAAATTATGTATATATTGTACTGTGATTTTCGCAAGTTATTGACCCGTGGAAGCATATGTACACTGGACATACTCTGTTCATAAATTCAGAAGCAAAACTTCTGAAAAATTGGGGTTAGGGGCTGTACATAAATCACGTCAACGATTTCCGGGAAAATTTTAGCATCACCTACATACACGCTACGTGTTAGAATTACTTAATTCGACATCAAGCCTTGACCCCTACTCCCCCCCACTCAAATTGATCATATATTTTCTGCACCGTGCCCTTATGGTTCGGAAGGACAACAATTGTTGTTTCTGTCCCTGGTTTTCACCATTGTCTCTCCGCAGCATAATCTGTTCTCAAGTTGAGGAATTTTGGCCACTCCATATTTAAATGACGTAAAATTAGACGAAGTTCATAAATCATGTAACGTGGGATTGGACAGTGGGGTCTAAAGCTTAAACGATATCGGCATATGTAACGGAGGCTAAAGGGGGAGGTCTGGAAGTTTTCCGGGAGTCGATCACGTGATTAATGTAAGACCCCTCATACCTCTTTAGTTAAATATACATTTGATTTCAGGTCCCTCAACTGCCTAAACTTATACGGAAACATTACCCCAGATCGGATGGAATCCCTCCTGAAAATTCCTGCCGGTTTGAAGAAATTTACCTTCGGGGGTTTTAACCCAGTTTTCCTTCAACTTGACGATGATGATGAAGAAGATGAGCTGCAAACTATTTTATATAAATTATTAAAGAAGCAGGCCCCCACATTGGAAAAATTTAGTGTCGGCATTGTCTGGTGGGATAGAGCGGAAATGGAGATTGAGTGGAAATTTCCAATATTTCCCTTCGTGAAGAAACTTTACATCGACTTTTCTAGAATGCAAACCAGAATTGTATTCGAAACAAAACTAGAATCTGGAGATTTTCGACCGATTAATTACGCTGAATGTTTCCCAGTCTTGGAATTCATAAATTGCGCGATCCCGGAGGAGTCCTGGGTGGAGTCATTTCTTCCTTCGAAGGGTAATTGTCAGGTTGTGACGTCTGTGAGGAAAGTTGATGTCACAATTTATGCAGATTATGGAGAAGGAGAACTACACACCAAGATATATGAACAACTTTGGGATATGTTTCCAAATGCGAGAGATTTTATAATAATACGTAGAACATAAGCCTGTCCAAGGACAGGTTCTAGACTCCTTTTGGGGGGTGTTCGCAAAGCGAAAAATCTGTCAAACTACATTGAATAATTCCCAGTGGAGACTTTGTCCGTTGTCATACTAAATAATGATGTTATTGTTAGTTCCATAGTGAGCTTGTTTAAGTCACGGTGCAATTTTATTTTCGCCTGTAGTCGTGTCTGCTTTGCATTAAATACACTTACATAAACACCTAACGATTAGGATGGCTAAATAATTAAATACTTTGATCCCCATGGTATGGAAAGGGTCACATATGTAGCAAACTTTAATTTCCATTGCGTGGAAGTGACTGCAAAAATACACACCATAAATTTATAATGGAGGGGTGGTTGCATTAGAAAGATAAACTTAAATTTCTATAAAAATATGTATGTATCTGTACGTATATTTTATTTCTCGTATTTATAACTACTGCTGGTCTGTTTATTACCATGAGCATCAGCATACCCGGGTTAAATGTTTCTTTTAATAAATACCTATTCATACTATTGTATTGAGCTACAAAATGAGTAGGGATTGAAAAAATAACCAGGATATGCGTGATCATGGAGAGAGAAATAAGTAAAAAGCCTCGCTTATGTACTAGAAGTAATAGTTACAATTGTAGAAGGAAAATTTTTATAAACCAAGATTTTTGCAATTAATCCTTGGCACCGGGATTATTACACTGTTAACCGGTATTATTCGTAATTAAGGTAATCTAAATATTCTTTATTAATTAACTTCTAAAGAATTTTAGAAAAGCATAACAATTTTCTGTTAAAATACAAACTTTATTATCATTCTTGGAATAATTTGTTAATTTAAACATATGTAATAAAGACTCGAGGTGTATGTGGTGTGTAGTGCTTTATAATGTGCATTTCATAAACGTAATTAATTACCCATCTAAATAGTTTGCATTAACTCTTCATTCCCAGTAGAAATCGCGTAATTTTACGTTATTGGTTTCAAAAATAAAGTGTGAAGATTATTATGCACGGGTTGGAAAATCACATCGCACTGGTTAAAATCGCATCACAATATGAGTTTATGTGATTTCTGGGAAATATGCTTACATTTGAGAAAATGTGAAACAACTTTCTTTAGTATAACTTGAGATTATAACCAGTTCGATATTCTGGTTCAGCTCAAAATTTTGATCATTTTAACATGCAAATCTTCCAGTTTTTGACCAACCTTGATCATAAACATATACACATGCATACAAATTAATTGCAAACAAATCATAATCCTAACCGGCTCAAGTCACTTATCTAAAAATGGCTCAGAGTTCGTGCTTAATCCAAATATCAAGATATTTGTTTCTCTACTGGCTACCGATATTTAAAAAATCATTTTCCCATAGGGGTGTCATATTTAATTAACAATTGTCGAGTAAATCAATGGGTGTGAAAATCACATAAATTTCAGCAACGTACACCTAAAAAGCTGATTACCAGTATCAGCTTTGTATAAATTAGGTATTTGTATATATTTCTGTGTGTATGTACATACATATATATGTATAATCCCTAGAAATATTTATCCATGGATTCCTCAATATTTAACCAAATATCTGTTGAATCTTCGGAATGAATTACTTATTAATACGAAATAAATGTCACAAAACATAACGAATAATATCAAATGGAACATCAACGAATAATATTTACTTCAACTTCCACTTACATATATGTACATAACTGACTCATAAGCACACACTCATATTTGCATGCGCATAATTCATTTCATGACGCGATTTGTATCCTATAACGAAATTTGACTTTCGTTTATTTACGCAACGCTTTCTAGTGCAATGAGAAATAACACTACATACTTATATAAACTTTGCACAGATATTTATTTATCTACACGTGGATAAACAGGGAGGTATGTCACCTCTAAAATACAGTCAAACCTAACATGGACCTAAATATGTACATATCTAAGACACGTAGGCAAATTTTGTCAGTCCAGAGAGAGAGACGTCTCATCATCACTCAAATTAATCCCAATTAACAAATTTTCAACCTATGCAATTAATCAACCATGCTGACCAACATTCTACCAATTTTGCGTACTCAGCTAGATTTACTTGAATATTTCACGACTCTACGTCCCATTCGTTTCAATCCGATACGACAAACTTTTCAGCAATCTGTTGACAAGTTTGATTTAATAAAAGTCAGGGTTGTCATAATTTTACAGTTTTGCCTCTTTCTGAACGGAGTTTACCATATCCGTTTCATCCCAGACGTACAAAATTCCCCAGTTCGGTTAATATTCGTGTACTATTTCACAATAGTGCTATTCCTTGCCATTTTGCCGTGCATTCCATTATTAACAAAGGCAGATCAGATTGCCTCCTTGTTAACGAAGATGCTAAAGTTTGAGCGGGATGCCATAATTTTACCTGATGAAAGATTGACACGTGCGGGATATTGGTTCACTTTGGTGCTATATCAATTCAGCGTGACGAGTACCCTACTTCCGGGTATGTTCACATTCTTCCCCTTGTTCGAACCTACGGCGGCGCCATTCTTGCCGTCGGGGTTGGCGATGATCATAAATTGGTGGGGAGTTAGGTGGAATATACTGAAAATGTTGGGGTACTGTGGGACGTATCTGGTACTTTTTGCTGTACAGGGGTGGGCACACTTCGTCACTGTGATGACCCTTCATACCGTTGCGGTACACATCTGTATCACGTGTCAAATTTGCCTGAGTTCCTATTTAGCGAGGCTGTTGAGGTAATTCAGATTGCGACAGAAGAAATTTAATTCCTGAAGACGCAAAAGTTATCATCTGCTTAAATAATTTAGCGTTATCATGAGAATTTATTGTAAAAACTATTAATTCTCAATCTCCCTTGTAAATAATCGCCAAAGTTATCACCTGTTTAAATAACTTATATAATTTAAATACCTTAAATAACACAACAATTAATTGTGAAAACTTTTAATTCGCAATCTCCCTAGTAAATAATTCGATTTATTTTGTCAAATAATGCTGGAAGCCGTTTTGCTATGGCGAGAAAAAATCCGTTTTAAGTTCAGTAAAATCGTAGACAAATTTAAGATTGTGTTTTTTTAATCAAATTACTGACATATTTGCCCACGTTACGTTTTATGTATAGGTCGGTTCGCCAAAACTCAACCCTGCCAGAAGACCTGTTCCGAACCTACAATCAAATTAAGCTTCTCGAACTCCGGAGCAATGCCTGCTTTCGAACTAACGTGATTCCAATGTCATTTCTCATTGCATCTTTTGGAAATACTTTTTCCACATTTATCGCCATCTCACACCGACACCTCCTTCCCTACAACGTCCTCTACTTCGTCTTTCCGCTAATGAGCGTGCTCTGCTGTTTAGTCATCCTCATCATGGGTACTGCAGCGGGAAAAGCGAATCTCGTCTCGACCCAGGTCATCAAACAGTTGTTCGCAAGAATGCATTTGAATAGAAAAATAATTAAGAGCTTGAAAACTGTGGAGGTGAAATGTTTGGATACTTCGATTGGAATTATGACCCCACTTTTGTTAATTGCGGGATGTAATAAGTTAATGGTGAAAGTTGGCTTGTTGGCAAAGTAGTAAGTACTTTATTATTTATTTTGTAAACGTTATGTAAATATATACATACCTTGAGGATTTAAAAAGAGTAGTTAATAATTCAACTATTTCCTCGCAGCATACGTGCATAAGTTTATTGATTTAATGATTTCTGACTTCTTACAAAGGGCCAAAGTTGGTGCGCATGTACTGGTTAAAATGTTATAAAACCTGTTAGGTAATTGTAATTAGTATGTATGTAAGATAGACTCTGTTGCCACGCAAGAATATTCACAAATAATACATGTACGTGTGCATAAGCTCGGAACATATTTCTAATGTATACGTAATGCAAGTTTATATAACACTTATTTGTACATCTTTTATATTATAAGCTGGAAATGTTTGTCTGCAACGGAAGTGAAAGTAATTTTCCGAAACGGAAGTGAAAGCGGAGAAAGTCAAGTTTAGAATGGCGCGAAAATTCAAATTAAATTGTTTATTTAAAAAAATAAATTCCCTAGATGGGCGCCTTCTGACAACCACCCCCAGATAACCATTCAAGACAACCATCCCCAGCAGTGGCGGGTAAACCGGGTATGTGGCATAGGTCACACCTAGGGGGCCCCCAGCCGAGCGTCATCTCGGTGCAGTGCCGGGTAAACCGGGGAGGGGAGGTATTTGTGACGTAGGGGCCCTCACGCAGCGGGGCCCCGCACGCATAGTCCCGGTTGGGACTATGCGTAAATTGTTGCACGAGTTGCCAGCGAATTTCTAAAAATATATTCAAGGCTAATGCGGCAATGCAAATATAGGAATTAATTGGTGGTAGTTACTCATGTTCAGGTAGTTTGCGAACCACGAACAAGCAGGGTTTCGATTGGTAAAAACCAAATTGACCAGGGCAGCGGGAAAAAGTGGGAAACGGTATTTTTACCACCCACCCAAAATAGGTGGGAAATGGGAAAAATGGAAGAAATGGGAAAAACTATGGTTTTGGGGCGAGCAGAAACAACTTTTTTAAAACTGAAGATTTTCAAAATTTGACTTCATATTCGTGTTCTCCATCAAATTCTGAGAAAATAAGTTCGTAATACGGCTCATTTCGAACTCTAAAATTAGCATGTGTTCGTATGGGAAAAGTAGAAAAACAATCAAAATTGTTCAAAAGTGTCCGTATTGCATATCAAAATTTTCAGAAATTCGTGGAGATGACGAATATGAAGTCTAATTCCGAAAATATTGATTAAAGAAGTTAGCTTTCCCCATAACTAAGTACATGGGCAGCCATATTTTCCCATTTTGGACGGTAAAAACGGTTTTCCCGGTTTTTACCACTTTTTCGCACCTGCCGTGGTAAAAAATCGTTTTTGACGGGAAAAACAAAACCCTGCGAACAAGTGGTTCAGCAGCTACATATATACGTAGATAATGTAGACATAAACGAAAAATGTACTATTTAAGGGCTCCAATAATTTTTGCACGTGATTCCGCAAAATTTCTGTATGTCTGGCAGATAAATAATTTTTAATAAAATTTGGGGCCCCTTGATGTGCTAGCCAAAATGCACGAATTTTTAACGTATTCCTGCGATATTTTTGTGCATACTTATTCGGTCAAATAAAAAAAGAATTTGTTCTGTTTAAATTATTAAATTTCTCTTAATCTAGTCTTTTGTAGTCTGTTACCCCGTGTTTATGCTCGTCATTTCATTTTAATTTAGTTTTCATTTCACTACAATTGCAATTCATACTTATAAATAAATTGCAATTTAATTTGCAATTTATACTTTTTCACAGAAATTCATGAAATATTAATCTTCCAATCATTTCATTTTGCTTTCACAGCAACTAAAAATTAAAATCCCAAATTTGGAGGAATCCAAATTGTTTCCCTAAACTACGGTTCAGAAAAGCAAATTGAAATCAAAACATTTAAGATGTCAAAAAATAAAACCTAGGATGCAGGGCCTATGAAGTAAAAATGCAGTATGCAAACCCTACAATGCAGCCTGATATAGTGCAACCATAGTTAGAATTGATTATAAATAAATTAACCCCATGTAGGTTCCTTTGATGCTGAGCAATTTAAAATTAGCGGTCTGCAAATTGTAACTATATTAAAAACTCGTCACAAAAAAGTCACCTAGGGGCCCCGAGCTGGCTAAACCCGCCACTGATCCCCAGATAACCATCCAAGACAACCAACCCAAGATAACCATCCAAGACAACCAACCCAAGATAACCATCCAAGACAACCAACCCAAGATAACCACCCAAGACAACCACTCCCAGATAACCA